TAAACACACACACACACACACACACACACATATATATATATATATATATATATATATATATATATATATATATATTCATATTTTATTTTATGTATCTTTTCGCTATTTTACTCGTAGTAGATAAATTCTGCTTTCCATTTATTTCTCTTTACCTTGTTCTCAATTCTTCATTTTTTTTAGTTTTTTTTTTTATTTGGTTCTTTTTTCCATTTTGTCCATTCTCATAGAATCTACGGCCTTTATTGTTTTTGTTATGCCGAATTCCTCTTATTTTTCATCCTCTTTATGTGTCATTTTTCTTTTCTTCTTCCTGGTTTCTTTATTTTTTCTTCTCCTTACGTCTTTCTCCTTTCTTCTTTGTTTGTCTTTTTTTTCTTCTTTTTTTCTTTCTTTTTCTACTTCTTGTTTATTTTTTTCCCTTTTTTATTTTCTCTTTGTTTCTTGGTTTTTCGTTTTTCGTTTCTCCTTCTCGTTTTGTCCTTTTCCTTTCTTGATCTTGGTTTTTCTTTTTCCCTCCTTTTCTACTTCTTTTTTCACCCTTTTCCTTTCTTTTTCTTGCGTTGTCTTTTTCTTTTTTTCTTCTTGTTTCGTCTTTTCCTTTTTGGTTTGTCTTTTTCTTTTCTACTTCTCGTTTCTTTTATCTTTTCGCTTTCTTCTTCTTTATGCTTCGTAGTTTTGTTATTCATTATCCTACATATGACAAACATGTTTTATTTGTCTTTCTTTTTGTTGTTTTTTTATGTTGTTTCTTTTTATCCTTGTTATTGTTCTTCTTGTTCTTGTTCTTGTTCTTCTTGTTTCGGCTTTTTCTTTCCCAGAGTTGTTGTTGTTGTTGTTGTTGTTGTTGTTCTTCTTCTTCTTCTTCTTCTTCTTCTTGTTTCGGCTTTTTCTTTCCCAGAGTTGTTGTTGTTGTTGTTCTTCTTCTTCTTCTTCTTCTTCTTCTTCTTCTTCTTCTTCTTCTTCTTCTTGTTTCGGCTTTATCTTTCTTATTCGTCTCCACAGAGTTCTTCGTCTTCGTCGTCTTCGTCTTCGTCGTCTTCGTCGTCGTCGTCTTCTTCTTCTTCTTCTTCTTCTTCTTCTTCTTCTTCTTCTTCTTCTTCTTCTTACTTCGACTTTTTCTTTCTTATTCGTCTTCCCAGAGTTGTTCTTCTTCTTCTTTTTCTTCTTCTTCTTCTTCTTCTTCTTCTTCTTCTTCTTCTTCTTATTATTATTATTATTATTATTATTCGTCTTCCCAGAATTCACTTCTTTATTGCATAATACTGCTACTTCTTCGTTTCTGTCTGCATTATTTTACTTTTTTCCTCTTTTCTTGATTCTCTATTTATTTATTTCACTTTTCTCCTTCCACCTTTTTATTTTCCAATTCCTAATGTTTTTCTTCAGCAGCAGCTATATCGGAATTCTATCAAATTCCTTTGTCGTCATCCATTCGTTTTAATTTATATTTCTTTCTTTTTTTGTTACTTTCATTCATTCTTTACTGCATTCGTTTTGTCACTTTTCAGGGTCTTTATTTTATTAGTCTTCCTTCTTTTTCCTTCACTGTTTTTTTTTTTGTAGATTTTTTTTTTCATTCTTTTACATTTTTTCTTTGATTTTTTTTGTTGCATTTCATCCTTTGTAATTTTTCATCTTATCTTCATCCATACTTTCTCTTTCTCTTTATTCTTTCATTTTTTTCTCTTTCACTTTTTCTTCATTTTCTTCTTCCTTTCATTCATTTGTTCTTTCGTTTGCTTTTCATACTTTTTAAATTGTTTCTTTTTTTGTTGTTGTTTTCATTTCTCGTCATTTTTTTTATCTTATCTTCATCCATTCTTTTACATTCTCTTTATTCTTTCATTTATTTCTCTTTCACTCTTTCTTCATTTTCTTCTGTCTTCTATACTTTTATGTCGTTTCTTCTGTTTGCGTTCTCCTTCATGCTGTTAAATAATGAATGAAGATAAGACGAAAAAATGATCAAGGATGAAAACAAAAAAAGAAACAATGTAAAAATATGAAAAAAAATGAAAGGTTAAATGAATGAAAGGAAGAGGAAAATGAAGAAAAAATGAAAGAAAAATGAAAGAATAAAGAGAAAGAATGGATGAAGATAAGACGAAAAATATATTATATATATATATATATATATATATATATATATATATATATATATATATATATATATATATGTATATTCATATTCTCCGTCCATGCAATCATCCTAATTCATTTTTTCTCTGTTACATAAGACGGGCATTATTTTTTTTCCTTTCGTAGATCAGTGAATTGTCCGGACAACCATCTAAATAGCATCAACTGACACAATAAATACATAAATAAGAGAAAAAAAAAGTCACCTAAAACTTCTGCTTGAAATTCTATAGGGACTCTTGTCGCTTGTTAACCCGAGCATCTCTCTGTGTCCGTATGCTCATTTCTTACCGGAAAAAAAATATATTAATGTCCACAGCAAAATAGCCACGGTATTATATATATTAAATCACCGTTTTCATTTTATTGCTGTGGTCGCTTGTTTTTCTTCATAATAGTTCGATAGTCAGGCGAAACGAATATTAACGAAGTCAAAAAGCTCCCCGAAAATTATACAATCTTGATTACATATTTCCAGTCATAGGAAAGAAGCCACTGCGGAACTTATCATCACTAACAGAACTTGAACTAATAATATTATACATATAATTGACCTATTTTCAAGAAATATTCTGACCATTGCCAATTCTTTCGAGTTTGATTTTCAATGCATTTCTATAGCAAAATTATTTGCCAATTTATAAACTATAATAAAAAAATATTTAGAATATATTCTTCTTCTTTTGTGTGTAGTGGCTCTTCAGGGCGTAGGCGATCATGCCCGTCCACATAGTCCTGTCCCATGCAGCTCTTAATAAATTTTGTCTCCAAACACTGTTCTACAATTCATGTGCTGAAACTCATTAAGTAAGTTACGCGCTGTTTTCTTTTGTCCCTCTTTCCCTTAATCTGCCCTGTGAGTGTCAGTTTCTCCAAGCATTCCTTCCTCATTACGTGTCCCGGTAATTTCAACTGTTTTTTCCTGGTATTAATTAATTTTTTTTTTTTTTTGCTTCTATTTTCTTCCAACTTGCGTCGTTGCTTACATGTTCGGCGCATGGTATACTAAGCATCTTTCTGTATACTGAATTACTGTAAAGGTCGATTTTACTGTTTTTAATCATGGAGAATTGTGAGTTTAAGAACTAAAATCGACCTTGCTAACCGAAACGCTCCTCTCTGGCGCAATCGGTAAAAGCACGTCAGGCTGTGACGGTTCCGTATAGGTTACAGGTTCGATTCCTGTCGGAGGACGCATTTTTTTTTATGAAAATTTCTCGGGTATTCAGGCTGGTAAATATCTTTAATACTGATTATTATAAACAGAATATTTTTATCAATAAAAAAAAGATTATATAAACATAATCATTGTCTTAAATATATATATATATATATATATATATAGATAGATAGAGAGAGAGAGAGAGAGAGAGAGAGGGAGAGAGAGGTGCATTTCGGACGTTAAATTATTTGATAGTGTAAGAATCTGTATGTAAAGAAATCTAAGTGTATGAACGTTAATTCATGTAAGTGTATAAATCTTTGGGTGATATTTTCTATAGATGTCACCTTCGTATATAACGGTGAAATGTAGCGATATGTTGCAATAATTTCCTATTTGGTTGGAATCTATATTCTCGTGTATGTTTGTGAGGGGAATGTCTGTGGTTGTCTCTGGATATATAGAATGATGGTAATGTGATGTAAAGTTCTATTTTTAGTGGCCTCTGACCTTTTTTTACGGCGTCCTGGGTAAGACGATAAAACTACATCCGACAGTAAGGCCTTTGATTAGGAAGTTTTCATGAGCATGGGACCACTTCTTAATTGTTGGTGTTCTCAGGTCCACTCGATGTGGTAGAACCTGTCAGGGTCCCAGCTATGGCCAAATATTTAACCACCTTTTGGTGGGGTCAGAAAATTATAAAGTATTAAAAAAACGTTATTAATACCAGCAATACTTTTTTGGAAAAATTTTACCAGCAATATATTTTTGAAAAAATATTACCAGCAATAATGTTTTGGAAAAATATCACCAGCAATAAAAAATCTTGTTGGCATTAAATAACACATTGACGTTAATATGCTGTAAAACAAATCAAACCAAAACAAACTTTTTGAAAAAAAATATTACCAGCAATACATTTTGGAAAAAAAAATTATTACAAGCATTTTAAAAAGAAAATACTACAAGCAAAACAGTTTTGAAAAAAAATATTACAAGCAATACATTTTTGAAAAAAGAAATATTACAAATAATACATTTTTGAAAAAAATATTACCAGCAATAAAAATCTTGTTGGTATTAAATAACCCATTGGGGTTGATATGCCGTAAAACAAAACAAACCATATCTTTTTTTATTGGGTCAACCATAGTATAAAAAAATAAATTTTAATCAGGATACCAAGATCGTGTTGGAAACAGCTCCAAAGACACCTGTAAATTAGTCAATCGATTTAGAAAAGAAAGATTAATGTTTGAAATAAACTGATTACATGACTGATGAAGAGAGCGTGAAGAGATTAATGGTAATCTGAGTGGGTAGTAATACGTAGAACGCGTTGAAATTAAGTCGGATTTAAAAAGAAAATAAAGATCATCGTTTCATCATAATTTTATCAGAATTTCTTCTCAGTCTGTAAGGGTCTTTTGTTTGACGTTTTGCCTTTCCCAAATTAATGAGAGGTATTAACCTACGCCACTATCCCAATGTCAATCAGAAAGTTACTTGGCGCCAGTACGGATTACACTACACACAAATCTCCTTTTTCTTTTTTTTATAGTTATCCAGTGCCAGCCCAGGCCTTCTCGAAGCAGTCCATATATGCCCATAGCATGCGCGCAGTGTCACGCAGAATCATCCACGATATCGGGCCGAAATGTTGCCACCTTAGAAGTCTATGTGTTATGCAGTCCTGTTACGACTGTTGGGCAGCCGCTTCACGCCATTTGTATGTGAGGGCAATGACCTCGATGGGCAGGTCGTGTCCGAATCGCTCTCGGATCGCGTCAAGAACGTAAGGCTGGTTGTACTTCGTGATCTTTTCCCTGTTGCATGCATCCCGAGTGCAAACGACAGAGTCAGGTCGTATCTGTACATCCATGACAATGATTTCCTTCTTGGTCGGAATCACAAGGTCGGGCTTTCGGATGCCACGCTCAGTCTGAAGCCTAGATTCCATAATGACGTCGAATTGCTCTTAAGTGAATGTAACAAATCCGACATGAATTTGATCATGGCTCTCCGATTTACCATTTCATGCTGTTATCCATTGCATCAAAAGAACATTCAAGCTTACAGCATCTGATATTCTCAAGCAGTTACACATCTATACTTTATCAGTATTTGCTATACAGCAAATATATATATATATATTCATAAGTGTAAATAAAAGGTTTGGTGTTTTATTTTAATTATTGTTTTTAATCATTTCACCACCCCTCTCCGCCGCAAGCAAGGTGATAATGCCTCTAAGGTGCAAGACGTTAATGGGAGTGAAAGTAAATGAGAAGAAATCAGTGAGAATACAGGGTAATAAAAGAATAGGATTCAGGATGACAAAATATGGCGATAGCTGTTACGTTTATATTTTTGACGATTCATTAGATGTCACTTTTCAGTTATCTCATGTTATCTCTAAGTTCTCCACTGCCTCAACCTCGTATTGACCTGGCACTCTTTGAGTCATGTCACTAGATCTAACCAACGCTTTTATCCACTGTACCTCAAGGACACATAACACAGTGGATAATGGCGTTAGTTAGATCCAGTGTGAGTGCAATACCCGGTTGGGCAGTGGAGAACTTGGAGAGGGGAATTAACAGGAGATAACTGATAACTGACATCCATTAAACATGGCGCATAAAACTAGAACAGTCTGTTAGACATTTTCATGACGGTCGTCCTTGAGTATTGAATCCAGAGGTTGGCAGTGAATATTTCGGAGACAGTAGGAAAGCGTACTTTAGGTTCGCAGTGGATATCACAGCAGAGTGTAGTTCATCCTTCTCCTGGTCGCCTTTGGTTCTTTCCGGTAGGAGGAAACAAGATGGCCGCCTTTATACACGACGAATACAGTGTTGGGCGGCTTCTGATTGGTCGACCTTCTATTGGTTGACTATAAAGGGAAATAAGTCATTCTGATTCGCTCACTAGTTATAGGCGGTATATACCCCAAAAAAACCGTAACACAGTCTACCCCAGTGAACGAAATAAAGGGTTCAGGTCGACATTCCAACCACCTGAAGAAGGCCGGAGCGTACAACGGCCGAAACGTTTTAATAAATATGGTGACAAAGATGAGGACCATTGTCCGAATAATGTAAGTAGTGTAATTCTTATTTCCTAAAAATCTACCCCGAATCGTAAATTAAAAAATGCAATAAAACTATGACATTATTTAATTAGAAAAAAAATTATTTTCTTTTAAAAATCAGATATATTAAGGACACTATTGACTTAAGAGAAGAAAATATTCGGTGAATAATGAATTTTTACAAGATTTTTTTTTTTAAATTTTAATTACAGTAATTTATCGTTTAAAATTCTGCATTAATTTCTTCCGGTTTCATGATATTGTTATTAAAACTATATTTATTAATCATAACTTGAATAGCTTAATACAAAGTATTATGCATCAAGATTTTTAAAACAATTTTTTTAATTTTTTTTTTTATGTATATAAAATATTACGTGGCATGCCCCTGTTTGGAAGTATGTTTGCCCATACACGGCCTTATAAAAAAAAACAAAAAACAACAGTGTTGTCTATAGTAAATGTAAAGTCAAAATTCTTTAAATTACATTACAGAGAATATTTTCCAACATTTTTAACATTACTGAGTAATTAAAATTTTATAAACAAGCGTTCACACGTCATGTTCTTAAATTATGTTCCAACAGATAAGGTCTCCGTAGAACAACAAATAAATCTGTCAACACCTTCAAGCACTTATAAAGTGACTGAGGGGTAAATGATAAGCGCGTAATTTAACGCTACAGTTTGTTTTGAAAATCCATTCTCTGTTATTTTTAACTTAGAATAAATAATACTTGTTTCCAAACGGATTAATTATACTTTACATCAGTTAATATTCCTCAAATAAAGTTTCAAAAAAGTATAGTTTATTTTTGGAAGAGAATTAATTTTGTTTACAGATGTGTCTAAATGTGTAAACGGCCAAAAAGAGGAAATTCTAGTCATTATACTTTCTTTTTTTTTTATTTGAAGTACACCAAAGCATTTTGCTTACTGGAAATAATAAATTTAATCATTTAGCTTTCAATTAAGTTTCAAGAATTTCTTTTCATTTCAAATAAGTCATTTTATAACTTAGGCATCGAAAATTTAGTGGAGGTACCTACATTTAATATTTGCTATGACACTATATTTAAAAGCATAACAGTAAATGAAAGTTTTACTTTTTTCATAAATCGTAACTGATGTAATGAATATGCATACACTTGGGTTACCCCTCACAGTAATATGATTGGCTGGTGTCAGCCATAAATACAAACTGATGTGGAGGTACATGAGAACGTCTATTGTCTACCACTACGACGAGGACCAGTTCATTACAGTTACCTGCTAGAGTGTCCTACTCGGTTACAGTAGTCCAAAACCATTTTGCTACTTCGAACAAATATATCCCTTTCCGGGACGTATCACTAACAATCTTATTACAGCTTGTATAAAGTGTCAGAATGCAAATAAACTGTAATACATTTTTCTAGTAAATTATTTACATGAAATTATGTATAAATTTTATTTACTGTGTCTCTAAATATATAATGAAAATAAATGATATATTGTAAAGATATTCGTGACGTATTTGTGTAATATGTTCCATCACCCAAGTCTGGGGTTATTTCTAATATGCTTCAAGCCTGGCTTTCACTCTTCCGAAGAGCAACACTCCAGTTACTATAAAAAAAAGAAGACTCAAGATCAAAACTGGTGGGTGGGATATCACAATAGCAACACTCCAATTGAAATAAACCAGAAAAGTTAAGATCAAAAAGTGATGGTTGAGAGATGACAAACGGTCCACTTTTCCAAACAGCAACACTCTAATTGCAATAAAAAAGGAGCATTAAAATAAAAATAAAAAGTTGTGGTTGAGAGATCATAAACTGTCCACTCTTCCAAATAGCAACACTCTAATTGCAATAAGACAGAAGAATCAAGGTCAAAAATTGATGGTTGAAATTTCACAAAGGGTCCACTCTTCCAGACAACAACACTCCGACTGAAATAAAATAGAAGAATCAAGAAAAGAAATGGTGTTTGAGAGATTCACTCTTCCAAATAGCAACAGCCAATTGCAATAAAAAAAAGTCAAGATCAAAAATTAGTGGTTCAGAGATAGCAAAGGTTTCAATAGTAACAGTCTAACTGTAATAAAACAGGATAATCAAGATCAAAAATTGATGGATCAGATATTCCAAAGCGTCCATTCTTCCAAACAATAACACTCCAATTGCAATAAAACAGAAGAAACATGACCAAAAACGGTGACTGAGATCACAAAATGTCCACTCTTCCAAAGAGCAACACTCTTATTGCAACAAAACAGAAAAGTAAAGTTAAATAATGGTGTTTGAGAAATACGAAAGCATTTATTCTTCCAAATAGCCACACTGCAATTGCAATAAAACAAGAATTAAGATCAAAAATTGGTGGTTGAGAGATCACAAAAGGTCCACTCTTCTTAATAACTAATTGTGTTGATGGCAAACACCGATGTAAAACTACACGGTTTTCTAGACAACGAAAGGCGAGGGGAAAAAAGCACTAGCGAGGAAAAAATAAGGTACAGCCGTCTGCAAGTGCAAAAACCCAAGTTGCAAACTGCGAATTGAAGATGTCAACATCAATCAAGTACAGAAGTTTAAATACCTGCGAAATTTTTTGATAGATGAAAAAGTCCGACACCGAAATCCAAACCCGAATTGGATTAGCGAAAGATGCATTTCAAAAGCTGAGACAAAGTACTAAGAACGAGAACAGAAAAGAGCTGAACTGCTTTGTGAAATCAATCTTCTTATATGGAAGGGAATGTAGGACAATCTCGCATTGAGGAAGACAAAACTGACAGCAGCAGAAATAAAGTTCTACAGAAGGGAGCCAAAACTCCATGTTCGCAGCGAGTAAGCAGTGGAAAAAAATCTGTTCAGAATCAGGAAAAGACAGCTGAATTCTCTTGGGCATTTAAGAAGGGCTTGTATAAGTTGATCATCACGGGACATATCGAGAGCAAGAGAGATAGGGGATGGCAGCGATCCATTTACCTGATGAGCTTGGGTGAATAGGTAGCGGAAAGAGGAGAAGGAGGCTTGATACGCTTCTAAGGGATGGAACGCTGCGGAGAACCATGAAAGGACATTCCACATAGAAGAATAAGAAAAATAAGTATATTTTTGGCTCAAACAATGAACAGGAACTGAGAGCATATTCAGTCAGCGTTGACATGCAAACTAACTCCCTCTATTTGTTACATAAATTAGCTTGGCGATTGGGAAGTAATTTCACGATGTTGTTCAAGTAGAAGAACGATATTGTATGTCAGTTTCTTTCTTATATTCAGGTTGAAGGTTCGTTCGAACCAGGGAGGGCTAGTTATCTATAGATTTACTTTCTTTAACACACATGAATGAATTCGTTGTCATTTTTTATATATATATATATATATATATATATATATATATATATATATAAACACATATATAATATATCTATCTATCTATCTATCTATCTATCTATCTATATATATATATATATATATTCTTTCACTTATAAACATTAAACATACGCACACTAAACACACACACATATATATATTTATATATATATATATATATATATATCATTTTCATCTTTATTAAATGGCCATTTTAAATCGAACTTATGATCAGACACATTGATGAATTTATATATATATATATATATATATATTTTAAATCGAATTTTATGATCAGACTTTGATATTTATATATATATATATATATATATATATATATATATATATATATATATATATAAATTAATATATGGGTCTGAAAATAAAAAATTTAAAAAAATTTAATAAAGATGAAAGCAATCTTTATTAAAATCACTTTAATATATTATACTATATACTTATACTGATATATATATATATATATATATATATATAAATGTGAAATGTGTTAAATTCTAAAAATAAATACCTCTAAAGTCAATTCCATCCCTACCTCGCGACAATGTCTTAGGGGTCAAATCTCCAACTGATATCAAATCAGTCAGTTTACGATGCCGGTTTGAGGCAATCAGATGTCTCGTACACTGATGAGCTGTCAAACAGCGAAACAGTCTGTCTGTGGATGACAATATATATATATATATATATATATATATATATATATACATATGGCGTAATGGCAAAACTGTACAAATCAGAGGAATAAGACCATTCTGGCCTTCTGTAATGGTACCGACGTTCATATTCTGGCTTTCATCTTCAAAGTGCATCCAAGAACCATCAAGATTTGGAGAATGTTTAAAAAGAGGAAGAGTACCGAGAAAAACTGGATCTATTTTCAGTTAAACAGAAAGAGTGATCATCATTTCAACTTAGAGCTAAAGAGATCAATAAAATAATATCCAACACAATCCATAAGACATTTGGCACGTGAAAGAGGAGTTTCACTTATGACAGTCCAAAAATAGTGAAAAAAAAATTGTATGTTAAACGTGTGATCCATCTTTTGACTTCAGGGACAGAAATTCAGAAGGTTAGAAAGGGCGAAGATCATCTTAAATAAGTTGGAAAATGTTCCTATATATATATATATATATAGCAATGCTTTATTATGTTCCGATATTTAGCTATAATTAATCTCTTATGAACGTGTTATTTATGTTTATGATCGATTTCATCAGGATTCTTCCGTTAAACTTGGCGAGTAATTATAAACATCCTGAGTGCTCAAATTAGAGACCAGTAGGTTTATAAAAACCTCGGAAAATTCCAGTAAGATATCTTTCATCAATTCTAATATGCAATGGTTCAAAGCTTAATCTAACAAATGAACAATTTTGCTTTTACATTATTCGGACAATTTTGCTGTTGCATATATATTTACATATATATATATATATATATATATATATATATATATATATATATATATATATATATATTAACAGAAAAAATTACTGGTAGTCCGTATGGATAATCCACTGGAGGGTGAAATCCTGAGAGCTCAATGTTAAGTCAGAGCGAATAATTTAAATTAAAGAAAAACAGACCACTTCAAGCCTCCATTTGTAATAATTTATTTCATCAGAAAATTTATTTTTCTCTGGATCTTCAGATTTCAATTTCAAAAGGTGAAACGAAAAATGAATTTAAAATTACACCTTTGACGGACATTATTAAAATTAAGGTCCAGTTTAGAGAGGGAAGGAAGAGCTTTAAAATGTATTTTTATATTTCTTTTTATTATAATATTTATATTGAGGAAGGAGGGGCTAAACTCGACCATGTCTCTCACACCATTCCTCACTACCTTCTATGTCAACTTATATAATCTTAATACTGCCCGTCAAAAGTAAATTTTATATTAATTTTTGGTTTCACCTTTTGAAAGTGATGTCTGAATATCCAGAGAAAAATAAAATTCTCTGGTGAAATAAATTATTACAAATGTAGGCTTAAAGTGGTCTTTTTTTTTTTAAATTAATATATATATATATATATATATATATATATATATATATATATATATATATATATATATATAGTGTGTGTGTGTGTGTGCAATTTTTTGGATAAATCAAATAACTAGATATTAGCAACCATATATACATGCGTTAGCGTGCATACACAGGTAAGCGAATAAATATTTTCTCAGTTTAAGGTGTAAACAAAACAGTGTCCAATGTGATTAAATAGAGCTAAGAGGTATATATTAATAAATATACATATAACTACGTTTGAAGTGCAACTTAAGTTTCGTTGTTCTACCAAATCATCAGGCACAAATTATTACTTAACTAATAATAAAAAGTAATAATTCGTTATCAGATGAGTTGGGAGAACAACGAAACTGAAGTTGCACTTGGAAAGTAGATATATATATAATATTAATAATCTTATAAATATAAGAAATTATACTCGTCCGGAAAACCTTGGGTACGTTGATATGTAACTAAACAGATCAATATCCAAGCGAAAAAAAGGTACAAAAAAAGAAAGAACAGAGAACATCTACGTCAACCGAAGACAAGCACCCAAGTACAGCGTCCAAAGAAAAAAAAAACGATACGAGTAAGTAAAATAACTAAGTAAATTGCTCAATACGCTAAGTATAGCAAACCTTATTAAACCTAAAGAGCCAGATAAACCTACCAAGGTTTCACCTACGCAGATCGTCAGGGTCCCTGCGTAGGTGAAACCTTGGTAGGTTTAATTATATATAATTTAGGATTCCGAATGATGATTATAATGCAGGTTTCACAGCCGCCATGATAATGACTTAAGATAATCTTCCTGATTAAATTTGTCTATCATCCATTTCACCTTTGTCGACTCGACACAACTTAGTGAGTATAGGACTTTGCCATGTCGTTATTTTATAGACGTAAGAGGAGGAAGGAAAACGTGATTATTATGAAAATGTGCAAGTTAGATAACGGAAGCTTTTAGACATAATGAATTTAAGATTGTAGTGATCGACGAAGCATTCTCCCGGGAGTCTGTTAAGCAAAGTAACGGCTACCAGGAAGAGGCTGTTTAAGAGGAGCATCCTTGCTACCGATGGCATACAAAGGGGCGGAGGAGGATTCGATAGGATGTTTCTGGAATGGTGTGTCTCGATTGATGAAAATAAAGAATTGGGTTCCTCTGAAGATTTGCCAAGGAAATTCCCACAGAATGGCGAGAAACTTGCAGCAATGAAGTATGTGGAAAAGAGCTGAAAGAAAGAAAGAAAGAAAGAAAGAAAGAAAGAAAGAAACGCGAATAAATGAAAGAAAGCAAAAAAGAAAGAGAGAAAAAGAAAGAAAGAAATGAATAAAGAAAGAAAGAAAGAAAGAGAGAAAAGAAAGAAAGAAAGAGAGAAAAGAAGCGCGAATAAATGAAAGAAAGCAAAAAAGAAAGAGAGAAAAAGAAAGAAAGAAAAAAGAGAGAAAGAAATAAATGAATAAATAAAGAAAGAGAGAGAGAAAAGAAAGAAAGAGAGAACGAGAGAAAAGAAAGAAAGAAAGAAAGAAAGAAAGAAAGACCATCTTAAGAAAGAAAAAGAAAGAAGTGAAAGAAAAAATGACCATTGCAAGGAGTAAAAAAAGGAAAGAAAGGAAGCAAAAAGCAAAAAGAAAGACAAAAGAAAGGAAAGAAGCCTGGATAAATGAAAGAAAGAAACAAAGAGAGAGAAAAGAAAGAAAGAAAAATGAAAGAAAGAAAAAAGAAAGAGAGAAAGAAATGAAGCAAGAAAAAATAGAAATAAAGAGAGAGTGAAAAAGAACGAAAGAGAGAAAGAAAATCAGAAAGAAAGAAAAGAAAGCAAGAAAGAAAGAAAGAAAGAAAGAAAGGAAAAAGAAAGACCATTCTAAGAATGAAATATAGCAAGGAATAAAGAAAGAAAGAAACTAAGAAATAAAGAAAGAACAAAAAGAAAGAAAGAAAGATAAAAGAAAGCTTTCGAACTCTGTCAAGGCCGGGAAAATGAGGCTTGGGAAGCTCCAACTCATAAATGGCAGTAGTGTTCCATTCTTTGTTTTGATTTCACTCTTGTCAAAATAGTGCATGGAGATGAGAAGTTAGGTAGCTTCTGAAGCGGTACAAGAGACTGACCATTTATTTATCCGCCATCTTTATCGATTGCGTATGTAAGTTTTTTTTTTTTTTTTTTTAAGCAAATAATTCTACTCACTTCCCTTTTGCCCATCTATATTAATAAATATTTTTTGTTGCCTTTTTAAACTTTGCCATTGGAATAGTGGAATGTTTTTTCAAGCAACAACATTAACATTTTTCTGACGCTTACGTCTCAGGGTTTGCGTGTTCGATACGCAAAAAAGTAAAGAAAAAAAATATGACGACAAAAAAAGAGGGGGTAAATATCCGTTAATTAGAACCATTAGTTTCATTGTGAAACTCCGAAATCGTAGAACGCATTTGCAGAAGAGATAGCATTCAAAATATTAGAAATAAAAGTAATTTTTTTTTCCGATTTTTACTTTTATTTTTGCAAATCCTCTGATCATGGCGGCTTTTTTATTTTTACATTCCAGCAAGAGTTTTATCTTTTTTCTTTTTTTATCTTTTCTTTCTTCCTTTTCTTTCTTTTTCATTCATTCATTCATTCATTCTTTCTTTCTTTCTTTCTTTCTTTCTTTCTTCCTTTCATTCATTTTCATTCATTTTTTCTTTCTTTTTTATTTTCCTTCATTTTAGAATTTCTTTCTTTTTCATTTCTTTCTTATTTTTTTTTTTCTCTTTCTTTTTCTCTCTTTCTTTCTTTCTTTCTTCTTTCATTTCTTTTCTTTCTTTCTTTAAATTTTTTTTTTTTCTTTTTTTTTTTTCTTTTCATTTTTTTTTCATTTATTTTCTTTTTTTCTTTTTCTTTCTTTCTTTCTTTCTTTCTTTTTCTTTTCTTTCTCTATTTCTTTGGCGGCTTTTTTTTTTTTACATTCCAGCTTTCTTTTTTGATTTTCTCCTTCATTTTATCTTTCTTTCTTTCTTCCTTTCATTCATTTTCATTCATTCATTCATTCTTTCTTTTTCGTTCTTTCTTTCTTTCTTTTTCCTTTTTTCATTCATTCATTCATTCATTCATTCTTTTCTTTCTTTCATTTCATTCTTAGAATCTTTCTTTTTTTTTTCTTTCTTTCTTTCTTTCTTTCTTTCTTTCTTTTTTCTTTTTCTTTTTTTCTTTCTTTCTTTCTTTCTTTCTTTCTTTCTTTCTTTCTTTCTTTCTTTCTTTTTTTTCTTTCTTTCTTTTTCTCTATTTCATTTTTTTTTCATTTATTCGCTTCTTTTTCCTTTCTTTCTTTCTTTCTTTCTTTCTTTCTTTCTTTCTTATTTATTTTATTTCTTTTTATTTTTTTTTCCAGCAAGAGTTTATGATTTCTCTCCTTTATTTTATCTTTCTTTCTTCCTTCCTTTCATTCATTCATTCTTTCTTTCGTTCTTTCTTTCTTTCTTACTTCCTTTCTTTCATTCATTCATTCATTCATTCTTTCTTCCTTTCCTTCATTCTTAGAATGATCTTTCTTTTTCCTTTCTTTCTTTCTTTCTTTCTTATTTTCTTTCTCTCTTTCTTTTTCTCTCTCTTTCTTTCCTTCTTTCTTACTTCATTTCTTTCTCTCTTTCTTTCTTTTTTCTTTCTTTCTTTTCTCTCTCTTTCATTCTTTTTTCATTTATTCGCGCTTCTTTCCTTTCTTTCTTTCTTTCTTTCTTTCTTTCTCTATTTCCTTTTTTGATCCTTGCAATGGTCATTCTTTCTTTCATTTTCTTTTACTTTCTTACGATGGTCTTTTTTCTTTCTAGCTTTCTTTCTCTTTTTTTTTCCTTCTTTCTTTTTTTTCTCACTTTCATTCTGTCTTTATTTATTTCTCTCTTTTTTCTTTCTTTCTTTTTCTCTCTTTCTTTCTTTTTTTCTTTCTCTTTTTTCTTTCTTTCTTTCTTGTGATGTTTTTTTTCGCCGCTCTTTCTTTCCTACGCTGATCATACTACTTTCTTTTGCTGGTATTTCTTTCTTTCAATAGATTCTTTTGCTTTTCTTCATTTCTCGGCCAACGGTCAAATAACATGGAAAACCCTGATTCTTATTCGATCACCGAAGTAAAACTGAGTCGAGCCGGCTCAGTAGTTAGATGGGCCACCGTTAGAGAACACAGAGTCTTGGAAAGAACCTCCTAGAATTCTTACATGCTGGTCTTTCTTTTATTTTTTCCTTCCTGTCTTTCTTTCTTTCTTTCTTTCTTGCTTGCTTGCTTTTCTCTCTCTCTCTCTTTTTTCTTTCTCTGATTCTTTTTCTTTCTTTCGCTAGACTTTCCTTTTTTTTTCATTCATTTTCTGGCCCGTTTTTATATCTTTCTTTTTTTTTTTCCCTAGTCTCTCTCTCTCTTTCTTTCTTTCACTAGTCTTTCATTCTTTCTTTCCTTCTTTCTTTCTTTCTTTCTTTCTTTTTTCTCTTTCTTCCTTTCGCTAGTCTTTCATTCTATTTTCTTCTTTCATCTTCTGGTCTTTTTTTATCTCTTTCTTTTTTCTGTCCCTGTTATCCCCCCCCTCTCTCTCTCTCTCTCTCTCTCTCTCTCTTTCGCCAGTCTTTCACTGTTTCTTTCTATCGTTCTCTGTTCCCTCTCCCTTTCTTTCTTTTTTCTTTCTCTCTTTCTTTCTTTCTTTTATGCACTGGCATTTCGTTATTTTTTCTTTTTGTCTCTCTTTGTTTTATCTGTCTCAATCTTTTCTTTCTTTCTTTCTTTCTTTCTTTCTTTCTTAATCTTCTCCCACTTTCTTTCTCTGTTTTTTTACACTTGTTTTTCCTTCCTGCCTTTTATTCTTAGCATCTCTTTTTTCTCACTTTTCCCGGCTCCTTTCATGAAAACCTTTCCACCTCGATTTATTTTCTGACTTGTTATTAAACTGAGTCATATTTTCTTCAATATATCACGTAATGTTTCGTTTTTAATTATTGGATGAAGCATTTTAACACCAATATTTGACAAGCATACCTCAAATCTTAGTGGTGTTGCTTTTAATTGCAACGTTTTTTTTTCTTGTTTTAATTTCTACAACCGTTGCTTAAGTCGACTGAATAAGAAATAATTACGAAAATGTTTCATCTAAAACATTAAGACAACATAAAAACTGTTGCTAGTTGAGAGAAAACAAAGAATATGACATGGAAAATGTATAAGTTCATAACGAGCTGTTACGTAATATCAATCCCTCTCTAGGGCAGTTGATGCTAGGTAATCTCGTCACTGAAGAAGAGACGACTTAACGTGGCAGAAATGTGACTCTAGAGAAGGATGCTGAGGATACCATAGACCGAAAGTGTGAGCAACGAGAGAATCAAAACAGAAAGGAAATATATACTTAAAATCTGGAAGTGATAGTTGAGGAAAGAATGTTTGGAAAATCTAATACTCACTCGACAGATTTTAGTTCGAGAGGGACAGAGAAAAACAACGCATAATCTACTTGGTCAGCTCGAGTAATTCAATGGCAGAAGAGGATTTACAAGAGATAATAAAAAGACAAAATTTATTAAGATATTTCTAGGGTATATAATAAGGAAAGAGGGCTTGGAAAATCTGATACTCACAGGGCAGAGTGAATGCAATAATGACAGAAGAAAACAACGCATAACCTACTTGTTCAGATCGAGTAAATGGATGGCGGAAGAGGATTTAGGAGAGATAATAAAAAGACAAAATTTATTAAGAAAAACAACGCATAATCTCTACTATTAGTAGCTATGAGCTCTAGTAAATGGATGACGGGACAAGCTTTAGGATAAATAATGAAAAGACAACATTTATGTAGAGCTACAAAGGACAGGATATTTTGGAAAGCTATGATCACCAATGTCCTGAAGAAGAAGAAGAAGAAGAAGAAGAAGAAGAAGAAGAAGAAGAAGAAGAAGAAGAAGAAGAAGAAGAAAATTTAACTTCTGCTAATGTGTTTATATGGACAAATAGGTAAAGCAACTTTCATCTCAATTTCATAAGAGGCTACGTCTTTATTTCCGATCTGAACTGCTTACTTAACGACAACAGAATTGCTATTCAGCCTTTTGGCTTTGAGGCACAAAATTAATTAAATTCAGCCTCAGGGGACCCATCTCCTCGGGCAATAACTCTCCTCCGGGAGGGAGCTCCGGTTAATCCCTGGCGCTTGAGGCATCCCCTAAAGGGAAATGCCAAGAGAGGTGGATTACTTTTCTTTCCTTTTTTATTTAAATTTCTTTTTGCTACTGTCTTGTATATGTGTGGACCCTTACTTTAAATTTGACCTTGTGTTGGTTTTTTTCTCTCGTGTGGTTCTTTCTTTAAATATCCTTAACGACGGTAAAGTATGAAACGCGTCAATGTTGAGGCCTTGGCGATGTTGACAATTACATTTATCTGACTCCGGTGAAAAAAAAATATATATCTTACGACAACAACAAATACTCTTGTGAAAATTGAATAAAAACAAATGGCTGACATTCAATTCAAACAACGCGTGAACAAAAGAACGTGAAAAAATAGCTGGGATTTAAAATAAATTTGCAATAATTATGTCTTAACAAATAATGTACTATCTTCGTCTGTGAGTACAGTGTGAAGTGAAATGGATATGCCTAATTCAAATAGAAATGACGGTCAGTCACTGAAGAAAATAAAATTATGGAAAGCAGCGAGTGTATGGGGCCTTTCTGTTCAGTTTCAGTGATATATATATATATATATATATATATATATATATATATATATATATATATATATATATATATATATATGTGTGTGTGTGTGTGTAAAATATATAGAAAATTGGAAAGAACTTTCGTTAGATAAATAATCCAAAGTTCTTTAGTATTTTATTATTATTTTAAAAAATAGTGCTCGATACAAAATTAGAGCAAAAATATAAACATGAGAACTCTTATGTAGCTTTGTAATCATATTTTTAAATAAATAATTATATATATATATATATATATATATTACTTATTTATATTAATGATTTATATATATATATATATATATATATAATTAGGAAAAACCTTCAAAATGAATTGTTAGATTTTTTGCCAATTATCATTATATCGGTGTCATTTGCGCTGTATAATAGATTGAACTCTCAAATAGAATATATATATATATATATATATATATATATATATATGTGTGTGTGTGTGTGTGTGTGTGTGTGTGTGTGCAGTGTGTGTCTGTC